ACCACGACCACGACCACGACCACGACCACGACCACGACCACGACCATCACCACCACCACCACCACAACAACAAGAAGCCCAGCACCCGGTTCTTGGACTTCCAACATCCCTGATCATTGAATATTAATTGTGATAATGGTGATAAGTGACAAAGAGGCAGGTCGGTAGCTCACTGGAAAACAAGCGCACTGCTCTTGCAGGCTGTCTGAATCGAAACGCGACGCAAATTTAAAAACAAAAAGCGTTCATTAGCAACCTACTTCTAGCATGATGGGGCAATGATTCGACGCGGATGCCTATGCTTGCTTACCTATAGGCCTTTGCAGGATGATGCACATTGAAGCTGTGCAAAAGCGCAGCGGGCACAAAGCCTCAGCCTGACTGAGATTTTGTGCCAAAGTGAATGTGAATCGGTACTCAGATTTTGTCTGAGTTCCGGATTAAGACCTTGACTCGCAATGAGGTTCTACACCGCTTCATATCGTTGAGGTAGTTCTCCAGAGCTGGCGAGAAATGGCTGTATCAAGCCGGTTAAAGGCAGGCTTCTCCTGGTACATCTCCTTATCCCTACAAGTAAGCCAAAACTACCCTCAAAATCAAGAGCCAAATATTGGAGACCCTCAGCAAAAACGCTCCAGTTTGGCTCGGGTCTCCAAAATGCTCCAAAACCACATCGAAAGGGTCGTCACTTTTCGAACATTTACACCAGCCCAGTCATTAAGCAAAACTAGTACACCTTCTAAGAAAGAAGGTTTGTTTCTCTTCTGATCTGACCATTCTCCAAGCTTTCACCCTCCCAGACCCAACTGGTGAATGCACCAGGCCGGACGGTGACCAATCAATAGTGCGCAGAAACAGGTGATGTCATCTGGAAAAACCAGCGAGTCCGCATGAATTTGGGGGGTGAAGATGGTCAGCCCGGTGTGGAGAATTGACCGAGGTCTCGACCCACAGAATCCCCGCCTGTCGTGGCCTTACTGGCCATGCGTAAGGCTTCAGTGGCCCCTGTCAACATCAGCGTCAAGGCTGAGCTGGCCAGGCTCTGTCCGAGATGAACTGCAAGATACGACCGGAGCTTCAGAAGTTGTGACCGTTGTGACGTTTGGGCGGCAGCGTCCATCCCTTGACATGTTGACTTGACAGTAATCCGTAATATCTGGCTTAGACGTGCCGCCCAGAATGAAAGGTGAGAAGGAAGTGATATGACGCTGTTAATCATGGGATTTCAGAACTCTTGTTTTCATGGACCTTTTTTTTTTGAATCATGGCATCTCCCAGTTTTTCGGACCCAAAACGAACCAAACGGATCCCTATGCCAACCCAACACGGTGCCAACCCAGCGTTTGGCTGTCCGAGTCCGTCCGCTCGGCTCCTGGGCTCGAGCGCGGTGAAGGCACGTTCCGCGGAGACGGCGCCGGCGTTGGGCAGCCGCTGACAGCATCCGGGCAGCGCTGGCGGGGCGTGGTGCGTTTTGGGCGTCGACGTTGGGGCGATGCCATGGGTCATGGGCCTAGAAAGGCCTGGCCATTCAATAGAATCTACAATAAAAGAAAGAATGTCTTAGAGGCTCATGGATTCATGGATTGGATTTTTTGATGTGTCAAGACATCCCAATGGTCTAGCCTTCTCAAGTGCCTCAGAGCGTCAGGTCACTTCAGTCAGAAACCTGCCGCCCGCGCCTTCTGCGGTTTGTAGTCATGGTTTCCATACTGGTAAACCGCAAAGCGCAAGCCTTCAGCAGTCCGTGAGACCCGCCAAATCTGATTCGAACAGGGTCTAAAAGAGGCTATGAAGGCCGCACCGCATGCCCATGCTACAACGCTCCTTTTTGCAAACACTTCGGACCCTTGTGCCTATATGGCGATTCAAGGACATGTTCTCAAGCTGTACGAAAAGGAACAGAGCGACACACATGTTTCTTTCACATTCGTCAAAAGCTTTGAACCTTTTTCTATGGACTTTGCACCATCCCTTTCAAAGGGAGCGTCAACCATCGCTTGTTGACCTCCCACCAGTCAGTGGCCACCATCACCTTGGTGAGCAAGTTCGCCCACTGATCTCCAGTTGGTAGCCAATGGAGTGGCGGTCTGAGCGGGCACTGTGGAGAGGGTCGTGCCTCGCTCCGATATTTCTTGGCCCACTGGTGCTTTGCCTCGATCATGAGGCCCTGACGCAGCCCTGCCAAATCTATGGCGAGACGCTTCTCGCTTGGTGCTCGGGGCAGCCCTTCACGATGGACATGATCGTATAAGCTCCTGCAGTCGGCGATGAGGTGCAGGTCCATCATCTTGCCAGCCTCGCTCTCGTTGAATCGCTGTCCAGTGTGCATGGACAGCAAGAGCGACCTCAGAAACACACTGTTTTCAAAGGCTTCACATCCGGCCACGGTTTCTCCTGCAAAAGTCGACCGGCACACCCGGTGTGATGCTTTACTTTTCCAGTCCACCAAGATGAAGGTGCTTTCCTTCATTGAAAGCAGCGCTGGTCCGTCACGAGAAGCCGTTGCGCGCTCTCCAATCCATTGTTGGTCCTCCGGCTCTTCATCTTCTGGGGACACATTGCCCCAACCAGCGTCGTGGTAGGCAATGATGCAGATGTTCTTCTCCTCGATCTTGCTGAGCCTGATGCCACAGTCCTGGTGTTTCAAACTCACGTTGACGATCTTGTTTGTGTTTTTGAAATCTTTCACCGTAGGTGCCTGCTGTCTTCGCTGGGCTTGTGACACGGCGAACAGCCATGA